TTAGCCAAGAGTACATAGAATAGGATTGATTTCATAGCGTCAAATAGGACAAGAGATAAATTCTCTCAACAAATCCGAATGTGCAGCTGTCTGCTCTCCTGAACGTTATTTCACATATTCGAAAACTTGTGCGTCTGTAAAACTGACCGACGAGTTGAAAGACAAACTACTTTACAAGTGAACACTACTTTGCATCTACTCGGACAGTCTGCAACAAGATTCATAAGTATGAATGATTACTACAACTTACATTCTTTCGTGATTCAGGTTTGTGAAAGCCGATGAGAGTCAAAACAGTTTTTCGGGAAGCTGGTTTCAAGCAGATGGCGAGAACAGACTGGACCATAGAGTTAGTACCCAACAATAACGAGCAACCATAAATCACGACTGAACAATCGAAGATTCAGAATTACGTGGTCAATTCAAACTGTACTTGAATTTACAGGGATAAAGATCGAAAGGGCAATTGCGATAGGAGCACAGCAAGATATTGATGCGGTACAAACCCCCTTGAAGACCAATGTCGAAACAGAGCCAAAACTGTGATTACCTGGATCGTTAGAACTTTCAGCGCTTTCAGATGATGCTTGCATATAACGGTAGACATAAGGCTTTGTTTCTTATGAATAGTACGAACGATCTCAAATGCAGTTAATACAAGGCACTGAAACTCATGGATGAGAATCAAAGACTTCCACCCAGCACGAAACTGGGATTAGCTCACTACGAGGCCTATTACAACCAACAAAACGAAATAAACCGGATAGAATATTTCTTTGAAAGACTTCATTCTATAAGATCCAACTGTCCTCGAGGACATGTAATCCAACTGCTCCTGTGAAAGCTGAAATCACTTCATATGAGAAGATGACCTATCCCTTGATGAGTTCACCTTGAATGGAAGGCTGTTCGCGTCAAATTCACTATACCCAATATAGAATGTGACGGCTGTTGAGAAAGCAACAACGAATTCAATAACAACACAGAGAATAGGGAACAGATAAGGAGTCTGAGGAAGGAGAGAAGAGATGAAACTGAAGCTCTGGCAGACACTTACCCTAAGTAAGTGAGTATGATCGACTATCAGGTACAACCGGAACAAGTAACTACAAGCGATGGTGAAACCATATGTTCCGAAGATGAAGCAAAGGAGTGTGAAGCTGTTTGCACATGTTAGACCAATTAGGTAACAGTATCCTTCACAGTAGAAAAAATTATAATTGAGATGAGTTATCATTTTCATAAGTAGAGACCATAAGATAGAAAACAGGAATAGGACTGCCTGCAAAGAAGAGCTGGAAGAGAACGGAAGTGACTAACTTACTCCTTGAGAGTGCACGATCACCTTGTAGTAGTGAGACTCCTTGCTGGGAGGTGACAAGTAGATAATCAGATAACTGAGACCGTATATGACACAGGTACAGCTGATGAGAATATTGTGAATCATTTTATATGTTTCATTATCGGGCAACTGATGATTGAATAGATAGGAGTCATAACTAGACATGACAACGATGAAGCTT